GAGTCAAAGCCACAAACGTAAAGATTATTTACTAAAGAGCCATAGGTTAGATAAAGAGCAGTGCTGTTTCAGCGCACCGTGCCACATATGATAAAGGTGCCTTTTTTATCTCTGGGTGCTATGTGCTGATAGCACATTTAAAAAGAGTCGTACCAGCTCCGCACACACAAAAGTGTCGTACATTATGTACGACTCGCACATGTGCGACCCATCTCTACTTCGAAGGCATCACTTATCACTTCTCAATGAGAAGTTCTCATCAGTGCGGCGAGTACTTCTACCGACCGACCGACCGCCACCCGACCGTCCGACTGCTGAAGATAACGTAAGTTGTTGTAACTAATTTTCTGTTTGTTTGTTTGTTTCAGAGACTTCCCTTTTATTTTCATATTATTCTTTGTAAATTCATTTTCCATTTTATTTATTGTTTTGTACATACGAGGATTTATTTTCAATATATGTATTAACCGAACCACATCATTTATTCTTAAATTCCCCGGAACCCTGGAATTTTATCTCCACTGTTGACCCTAAAAGCTACCCTCGCACATAGTGGAACTTCAACCACTTTAAACCCGTTGAAGTTGGCGCTCGAGATTTTATTAGAAAGTCAGCACGGTAAGTGACGCCAAGCTTAAAAAGGAAAGTTTTCCCCCGGGAAATAAAACCCTTTTACAACGTATATGTTCGCATCCGGAAAAATAGTGAGCCATCAGAAATGTAACTTTAGAGGTTAACAAAATGCATTCGTGCAGGTGCAAAAATCCTCCTCTTCGACTCGGATTTTTGTTGCCACCAGCACTCATGCTTTTTGGTAAAATATTACTTAGCAACGTGTTTTTTCGATTCTTTTCGGAAAAATTAAATGCCCTTATGATATTACTTACGATAAGTTACTTATTAATTATTGTATAATACCGTTATAAAAAGATAACTAAGCCAAAAATAATTTCAGATTCTAAAATAAAAAAACGTTTAAGGGCAAAACTTCATTTCGATGAAGTTATACCAAATGCCTCAATGGCAGAAAAAGTACATTGCCTTATCGACATTTTTGGACTAAAAAAGTAACGTTTTTGGTTTTACAAATATTAAATCACACATTATTTTCAGCTAAGCTGATCAAAACATTTTGAAATTTTAAAAAATAAGGGGGAAATAAAAAAACAAAAAATAAAAATTATTTGCTGTTTGGTTCAACCTTTTTGTGAAAAATCTAGTAGTTAATTTTAAAAATAGCATCCATTTGGTTTGAAAAAGATAAGCAATAATCGCGAAAATTTTTCTTCTTTTAATTTGCAAGTTACTGAACATTAATAGTCCTGGACAAAATATACATTATAATTATTATTAAGCTACTACAAGTATTAACGTCCAGTGGCTTGAACAAAATACTCATTCAACATTGGAGTCCAATGATTGGACAACATTCACGTGTGTTCACATAAAATTTTAATTTCTTTAAATTCTTTTCAGAGCGTAGATTATTATCCGCTATAGCGGATAGCCTATAGGAATACTTTGTCTCTCCTGGGCAGTAGTCACCTATATTTAACTATTTTTTATATGATTTTACTCATCTACGCACCACCAAAGACAAATTAATTGCATTTTTAACTACGGCAACTTGGCAACTCAACTGGACTCAACGCAACTCAACTGGACTCAACTTGACAACCGTTCAATTTAACCTACAATAATTTAAACATAACCACACTTACATTTATAACTAGTTTAGTTACCCCTGAACACAGTGCATCTGTGTTCAGATTGAAGAAGAAGAAGAAGAAGTTTAGTTTGTTTACTAATCAATGCCACCAATTTTGGTTCCGTATTTACCAACCAAACCCCTAAATTTGCAACCTTGTTCAGATAAAAAAAAAAATGAACGTTATGTATTATGAAAGAGTATTATGAAAAGTATAGAACAACATATGGCCAATATTTTATATAATGACCTTATGTCGTTATAGGTAAATAAGATTATAAAATAAGCGGATTTATCGCTTTTTCTATTTGTAAAACATGCAGTTTTCTTACGACTCGAAGGCGATATAATATATTATTATGTAAAATGCAAAAGTAGGTAAAATAAATTTGAAAAATTAAAAATTGTCCTAATAAACCTTCATATTTTTCATTAACATACAGAGATTGTCACATTATTAGAGACAGTAGCAATTTTTTTTAAATTTTAAAGTTTTAATGGATTTACTAAGAAAAATAACTGATCCTTTTTGATATTTTATTTTGAATATTTGCTGTTGGTACTATTTTTTTAATTATATAGGGTACTTTTGTTTGTTGATTTAATATTAAAAATGTTCTTTGTATATTAAAATGACATTCTTAACCTTGTAGTAGTGGCGCCTTATATTTAACATTGGTGGTGGCGCCCGGCCTGTCAGGCCCGTAAATTTAAAAAAATCATATTTATGCTAGTATTTTTTCTTTGTGAATTTTTTACTTTTAATTTATTACTTAATCCTATTGTGACCAAGGTCACTGATTTTTTTTTAACAAAAAAACCTCCTATGTTTGAAATATGGGGTTAATTTTATGGGGACAGGATTATAAGGTGACATAATATTATTTCTCAAAAAAATAAATAAAAAAATTATTCTAGCAAAAAAACAACAAATGGTGTATAAGCTTGAATAACAAAATATCGTATTAAACGTGGTTTTGATTTTTTTCCACACAATTATGACACATAATTTTGGCATGGGTCATACATAGAAATTTTTGGCTATGAAGTGTGTGGTCCTTCTCCCATACAGCACACCAAATCACAATTACGATGTGTTCGCATTGTGACGATGTATCTAGATGCAGACACAGGGTTACACAATTCTACGATGTAAACGTGCTACGTTTACACATGGTATACACACACGTATGCACAATGGTTAAACGTCCGCCTCACAATGTAGCCACAATACCACATTAACATATACACAAAGTATGTGATCCACGGTGTGTTATCGGATGCACAGTAGCTGTGTATTGTGCTTAAACTCTGCTTACACATGGCATTTGTCTCACTCGAATTGAACGTAAATATACTATTCTTTGTATATGTAGCTCTGTCGCCCCGTGTATACACCCTGTCCAAAAATACTTTTGATGAGCTACTTCAGGAAAATAAGTTTTGCCGCTTGACTTTTCGTTCTCAAAACAGGTATTTTTTAAAATTCATTAATATTATGTTTTTTTGAGAATGATAGGTCGGACGGTGAAACTTTTATTTTCCTGAAGTACTCATAAAAGTTGCTTTAAAATTGTTATTTTTTTCGTTTCATATCTTATAATATATACTTACTATTATGGAATGCTTTTAATTGGTGCCACAAAAAACAGAAGTAGAAAAACACAGGAAAATGACAGAACTTTTACAAGAAGATTAAAATATATTAAAAACTGAAATATACATTACACAGTAAAAACGCAAATATATATTATATATAATTTATATATTATAGAAATACATTGTCAGCCATCGATAACTTACCAAATGTTGCAGTAAGGAGTTCCTTAAATTGTTTGAAACCTTCTTTATGTAGTCCATTTGGATTATTACGTCCAAACAAGTTATATTGTAGGGCCTATAGTAATAATAAGTAAATATTAAAGAATTCCTATTCCTACCTTAAAATCCTTTTTAAAATGCACAGACACCAAAGATATATCTCTGAAACACACACACTTCAATAAAAATTGACACATAAGATACACATGGTCGGTATTCTCACGCTGACGCTTTGCGCGCGCACTGTTTTAAATGCTCGAATCGTCGAATGTAGAAACAACAAGGCACAACTAAATAGTGTATATGTAATTCTTAGTACCATGTGTATATATAGCACTTTTTCGTAGTGTATGCAGTAAGCACAAATATTACATTAAGCATCACACATACATATGACTTAAACCTTGTAGGCATCTTGTACGGACGTCAAATTTTATAATTCTAATGATCCATTTTTACGCTATATAAAAATGTTTAGAATCTTAAGTGCATACGGTATACAATTAATAAACATTGTATCACATAATTCTGTTAATATAAACATAGGTGTATCTCATATGTGTACGTCAGTACTGGATAAACAATTAGATCCACCTTAACATCATCTGTTTCTCACGTGTATATATAGATATATCTTGTAGAGACGTAATTCAAATTGGACGTGCTGTATGGGCTGTCTATGCGACATTCTGCACACCTTTTTCTGGTCCCAGGGGGAATTAGTTGGGGTTCAACATTATCGGTAGAAGTCCCAGCTACTTCTTGTCGCCTTTGACGTACCTCAGTTGGTAAATTTTGTTCCATAGAACGGCGTTTCAAATGCTTCTACTAGGACATAGCGCCGTTCTTCAAGAGCTTTCGCATTAATAATTTGAATTATTAGCAGTGTGTATTTATTCCAGCCACATTCATTAGCCCATAAAATATGACCATATTGGATAGAATAAAGTATAAAAATATGCTAAATAATTAATATACCACAAAAAGTCGTATAACATAAATGGTGGCGCCCGGCCTTTCAGGCCGTTTTAGGTTATAACTTTTTAAGTTAGAACTGTAAGTAAATAAACATTGCACTACACCTTTCTACGCAAAAAGTTAGGAAGGTACTGAAAAATTCAGAGTTGTCTCTTAATTATTTTCATAATGATCCGCTAAATAAGATCGCTTGGGCCTGTTAGGCCGTGCGCCACCAGTAGAAGGTTAAACCCATTCAAAACTCTAGGTCGTGTTAGTACCTACTAGTAGTTTTGGACATCTCTCATTAAAACACCAAATTTGCCTCATTGAAACAAAATTTCGTAATTTTTAAAAACCAATTATATCGCCTAAATAAATACGCGTACAGTACCTGCTACGTAAGTTCGAAAAGTTTACTAACAAAAATTCAAGGCCGGTACCCATCTAAATAACAAATAAACCAATGACAACAAGCATTAAAGATACGATAGAACAATTACAGCGGTCTTAAAAAGGAGAAAGTTTGATTTTTCATTTAAATTTTTAACGAGTGTTATCATTAACTGTGTTTGTTTAGTTTTGTTGTGGTGGACTGTTTTTGATTTGGGACTATTTTAAGGTAAATAACTGGTTTAGTTTTAACAATTTTAAAATGTTTCAAATTATAACTAGATATGTAACTACATATCTTTATTTTTGTACCCCAAAATTGATTTGTATGTTTATAATAATAATTCTTAAAATACATGTTTTAAAAACAAATAAAATTTGTAATGTTTTTTTAGTAATTACATCATAGTTAAGTTTAACTAGATTACGTTATAGGTAGCAACAGCATTTTTATTTATCTTTGTTATAAAATAAAAACTTAATATTATGAACAAAAAAAAATTTTGCGATTTGTACATAATAATAAATATATTATATACACTCCGCGTCAAAATTAACGCATAATAAGTAAAAAATTTCAGGGTAACTAACAAAAATACGGCCTTAATATTAAATAAGAGGGCTTTAAGAATATTTTTTCGAAAAACCCTTGAACACGTAAACTAAGATTTAAGTTAAAGTATATTTATCCAAAATTGTATAAAGATTGGTAAAGGCGTTTTAAAGTTGAAATTTTTTTACTTATTATGCGTTAATTTTGACGGGCAGTGTATTTCGATTTTGTTAAATTCATAAAAAACCTTATGAAATCTTTGAAATTATATATACATGTATATAAGTTATATAATATTATATAATATAACCCTAGTTTTTAAGTTCCGTCTTTGTTCATTGGGATGATATTTCGATAACGAAAAATATAGATGCTCTGACTAAAATAAAGAAAGCTAAGAGATATTTCAAGTTGGAATAAAGCTTCCTATAACATTATTCAGCTCTTAGCCTACTTTTAGAATACCTAAGAGTCTTAGGTATTCTAAAAGTAAAAAAAAAAAAAACAAGAAGATCGGTTTAAGAGATATCATTATAATAACTATAGTTTCATTGAGAGCAGTTGGACTTGGAATTTTTGACGACCCTAAAGAAATGATGAATGAAGTGTGTTTGAGCTGTGATAAACGATAAAAGCAGAGAAAATACTTAATGTATATATCTCTTGTAAATAAACAACAAAAAAGCATAATAATCTACGCACAAATTACAGAAAATATAAAAATTATTTAGATAAATAATTAAAAAATAAAAGTGGCATGATAAAAATGATTTAGAGCCAATCGCCATTCTCTATTCAACGCATATTTAAAATCTTAAATCTGTTCAATGGTTGCCAATAAATTAAACGTTTAAATAAAATTAATTATTAAATTAAATTTTTGTTTTCATTTATAAAAACAAGGTTTTCATTAATAAGTACAATAAATTTCCAATTAGTCGTCAAATTAGTTCAAAATTCTCCCCTTTTTAACATTTTGACACAAAAATAGTCTGATTCTAAATTCAGTTCCAACATTTGCAAATGTTTCTTGTGTAATATTCTCACATTTAGGTCTAATCCGTTGTTCTATATCATCAATCGATTCCAGTTTGGTGATGTACACCTTCGATTTTAAATAACCCTTCAAAAAAATCAAGTGACGTTAAATCAGGAGATCGAGACGGCCATTGTCTAACATCCCTAAAATATTGTGCGGGCGCTCCATCTTGTTGGAATATTAAACTATACATGTCCAAAAATAAGGGTCCTACAATATAGTTTATATGTCCCATACATTGACTTTTTGTGGGTTCTGGGTATGACCTTCACGAAAAACATGTAGATTAACATCTGACCAGTAACGCACATTTTGACGATATACAGTGTCATTTAGAAAAAAAGTGCATTCATTACTAAAACGAATTAATTGCAAGTACAGGGGACTGTATTATGCGCTTAATCATAACGTCACAAAATTGCCATCTTCAGTAAGTTGATGTAACATTTTAAATTTATAGGGATGAAATTTGTTATGTTTGAAATATTTTATTACAGTTGATTTTGGTATATCACAATCCCCTGGACTATTTCTATTTGTTTGTCTTCTGAGATTGATTTTTTACCCGATCCTTTCTGGCTACTCACACAGTTGTTTGAAATTTAGTCACCAACTCCCGTAGATATTTTCTGTGCTTGGTGCAAATTGCAAATAAAAATTCCGTTTTTTCTTCCAAAAGGCGAGCACAACCCATTTTCCAACGAAATAAAAAGTAAAATTGGGTTTTTTTAAAACAGCTTTTAAAATTTAATTAACAATACAATTTATGATTTATTTATTTAATAGTTAAAACTGTATGCTTAAGTTTTTAACAGAAAAGATTTATAGCATGATTTAAAAAATCTGTTTGATATACATACATTTATATTTATAACACAACCTTAATAAAATATTTCTCATTTCAGAAACATAATTGAAAATGAAAAAATCGAAAAGAAACACCCCGGAAGATAAAACAAAGACCCCTGAAAAACCCCTAAGAAAAATATTGACCAGAGACACAACAACCGAATCAAAGCACTGGATGAAAAAGGAAATGGTTTTGGAAACGTCAGATGTGCAAAACAACAACACAAATAAACGCAGGAAATTAATAAAATACGAATTATATAGGGAGTATGAAGAAGTTGACAGATTATGCAGCTCGGAAAATTTGGACAAATCACAACAAAGTAAAAATGAAAATTTGGAAAAATCACAACAATCAGTTCATCGAGCTTCTGAAGCAAGTACAAATATGTTCATTGCGACAACAAATGACAAACAAAATCAAATAAAAAAGGAAAATTTTGAAAAATCACCACAATCAAAACTTGAATCAGTTCATCGACCTTCTAGTAATGCAAACAGTACTAGTATTTTCAATATGACGTCAAAAACAAATAATAACAAACAGCACCAAAAAGATAAAGCAGATAATGGAGATCTATTATTAGCAAAATATTTCAAGGAACTAAACTCCGATAGTAAGATTAATGATTTCGAGAAAGTGCAACTAAGGCCCAAGTCAACTTTTTCCTCGATTAACTATGATAATGATATCGCTCGTATTATCCACGAGTTGGTTTTGAATAAATATGACAAGAAAATTAAAGATCATAAAAGAAGAAGCCTCAGAAGACAAAAACAACAAAAAGAGTTAAGTACTTGGAGTATACATAAAAGTGCATAAGGTTTTTAAGGCTAATCCTTATAAGAGTTTTTCGAAATTATCCTGAAAATGCTATGCTTAGCAACTCGAAACTACTCGTCAAAAAAATTAATTAATAATAAATTAAGTATAATATACGAGGTGTGTTCAGAAAATATCGGGAATTTTCGTTTTTTGAAACAAATATTTATTTGTTTTTAATGTTGTCGTCTTCAAACTAGTCCCCATTGGATATTATGCACATGTGCCAGCTCTTCTTCCAATACTCGTAACACTTCTAAAACTCGATCTTTGGGATAGCTTTTAGTTCTTTCAGCGATGCGCTTTTAATGTTATCTATGGTTGCAAAACGACGACCCTTTAAGGTTCTCTTTATTTTTGAGAATAGGAAAAAGTCAGACAGAGGCATGTCTGACGAATATGGAGGCTGGGGCATCATTACAGTATTGTTTTTGGCCAAAAATTTTGTTCAAAATTTAACAATTTTAGAACAAATTTTTTGGCAACGCGTTTCATACACAAAACATTCGAAAAAATTTCATGGGGTGAGCCAATCGATATACCAACATCATCATTGACTTCTCTGATGGTTTATAACCATTTCTCCCACTTTTTCCATGTATTTATCGGTTGTTAATGTGCTTGTGCGTTCGGGGCGTTCGTCATCTTCAACGTCTTCACGGCCATCTTGGAAACTCTTATGCCACTTGTAAACTCTTGTTTTACTTATAGCAGACTCACTATAGTCTTTGTTAACATTTCACAGAATTTATTTCATTTTTTAAGCAAAATTGGATACAAATTCTTTGATCCATTTCTTTTAATGAACGAAAAATCGCCGAGCTCATATATCACGTCTAACCTTAGCGGCTGCCACAGACAAAGTAAAACAGCTAAAGTTTTTATCATACTTCGGGGGCATGTATACCAACATAATAAAAAAAATTGTATGACCACCGGACACTCCCAACCCGCGAAATTTAACATTCCCGTTATTTTCTGAACACACCTCGTAGCTGGGCCATTTTCGGGACACACTGTATAATGGTTTTAATGCATGTATTTTGCAATTTAAAACGTTTCTGTTAAATTAGACCCTAACATTATTGGACCAGACCTTTTCTACTACAGTGATTTTGGCAATACACTTTACAGTTCCTAGTACTTACATACAAATGGTACAAGAAAACAAAGTATGTTCTTCAGTAGGACGAATTTTGGTTCACTTTGCGCACCACCCAGTTACCGCCATCTTAGTTCATTCCCGCCTTTAAATTTAAAGAATGTTTTAAATTTAAACATTTTTCTCTTATGAAATTCATCCAAACTTCTATAAAATTATTTGATTTTTAGATTAAATTGTTGAATAATTTAAAGATTACACGTAAAAAACGATCTAAGTCACAGTTTTTACACATTTCTAGAAAATATTATATTGAAAAAAAACTATTTTTTCTACTCCCACCTTTAAAACACCCTTTATCGTACATGTTTCCATGACACTAAGTGACCTTTTAAATACACATTGACAAGTTGTGGCTTTATGGCGCTTTAGTCACGGGCTGAAGTTAGCAACAGGTTTTTAGTCACGGACTGAAGTTAGTTGAGTTGTCAAATGTCATACAATCGTTAAAATAAATTGCTTTTCTTGTAAAATAATACTAAATGTGAAAATTATTTTATTATCTCAATACAAAAATACAAAAGTATTAAATAGTTTCTCAACTCCAATATTTGAAAAGTTTATATAAACATTAACTTAAGTTCGGGCACGGACTCTACTGTAAAGTGCTCATAAAACATATTCTTTACTTTCACTGTGAAAAACTATCAATTTTCAAGAAATACATTTCGATTTATAACCTTTATAATTGTGTTTATAAAATATAAAAATTTGACATTTGACGGTGACACACAGATTCCCCTATTGTTTCATAGATGGCGCTCTATACAATTTTTTTATTTAAATCATTATAAGATAATAAGTATTTGTCGTAGAAAAAGTATAGTATGCACCCCGTTTATAAACTTTTCTCTACGACTACTTAAGAATAGTAACATTCTAGTGTAATTTTTGATCATAGAAAGGATGTTTTTCTGCAATACTGTGCGAGAATATTCCTACTCTTGGTTAAGAATGGTCACAAGTAACGACATCTCCTGACTGTTTAGTAAACGTAAAAAATTTAAAAATATTTAAATATTACTGTATTATTTATTAATTAAAAATAATAGCAGTTGTATAATTAAGGTTTAGGCACAAAAAATTGGTTATATTTATTGTTTTTCAAATATACAAATCAAAATTATAATAAATTTGATATTAAAATGATAAACCAGTTACCTACTATACCGGCTTTGAAGTTTTGACAGATTCAAAAAGTTTAAAAAAAGGGGTCTATTCTGTAACTTTTTAGTTATAAATAACCCTGGGTTATATCATATCGACTGGTTAAAATCTCTAGAGCGATTCTGTAACTTTGTATTTGGTTTAAAATTTAACCCGATGCCGATATAACGCTGGTTATTCAGAAATGTATATCGAGAGGTATATTAGTAGGCGATAAAAATAACTTTTGAGTTATAATTTAGATTTAAATAAAAAACACTTTCAAAGGTGCATTATAAGAATAATTTCCTTTACAAATTATTAGTACTAAACTTTTTTGCTATTAATTACATAAACTATTTCTTACCCCAGAACCCTGAGTATTTTATTATTATTTTTTTTTTGATTTAGTAATGCGGTACGAATAATGAATCGCAATTTACATTCTTAAAATTATTTAGACTTAACAAGGAAGCTACTTATTTTCTTATCGAAAATCTTTTACCACATATGAATGATGAATTAAGAAACACTGGAATACCTGCCCATCTAAAAATATTGTGAACACTAAAATTTTTAGGACATGGGGGTTATCAGCTTACTCTTCATTTTACAATGAGCCAATCATCAGTTAGTCGTTGCATATCAGAGGTGTGTAATGTTATTAATAATATTCTTTTACAAAGATGGATAGTTTTTCCCTCCACCCCTCAAAACATTAATTATTTTATCGCTATGGATTTCCTGGGATTGTAGGCAGCATTGATTGCACTCATGTTGCAATAATAAAAAATATTCTAATAAAATAATAGGTATTCTAACTAAAATAATATATTTTAATAAAAAATAATATACATATATTCAAACTTTAAATAAAAAAACATATTTATATGTTAATAAAAATTAAAAATCATTTACAAATAAAAGGTACACATAAAAAATTAGGAACTTTTTCAGTTTGGCAGCTGGTGGATTTTGGGTATATATACCCATGTCTAATAACTCAGATGTTGGTATACCAACATCTGAGTTATTAGACATGGGAGTCCCATGATGGGACCCACAGCAAACTTATATGAGTTTATAATGACATTGAATGGACAACCTGCAGGTTTTGCCTAAGCAGAATTTAAATTGAAAAAGTTGGTTTTGCACCCCCTATTTAAGATTATTCAAATTAAAGGGGTGAAATTTATAATTCACTACTGTGTCAAAATTTATTTTGAAAATCCAAGAGTATTTTATACCATTTTTAATTTATTTAAAATATAGTTAAATTAATAAAAATTTAAAATGGTATAAAATCTGTAATAATCTGTAAATTAATAAAAATTTAAAATGGTATAAAATCTGTAATACCTACTTATTAATAAATTTTCAAATTTTTTCATTAAACGTTGGTGAACGTACGAAAGTGATTGAATAATCGTAATTAGGGGGCACGCTGAAAAAATAACTTTTTAGCAAACTTCAATTTAAATTCTTCTTGCGCAGAACTTGTTCATTTAATGTCAGTATAAACTCATACAAGTTTGGTGTGGGTCTAATATCTGAGATATCAGTTTACCCAAAATGCTCCAGCAGCCACAAATTGTCTTTATTATTGCCTTCTAATGGTTATTAAGCCCCTTTGCCACTGCAAAGTTGCTGGCTATCAACTGCCAGGGCAGTATATCTTGATTTTTTTTTAGCCTTCTTCTTATGGGCTTTTTCAGGTTGGGCATAGTTGAACGTATGAATGTTTTCCATATTCTAACTGCCTTCACCATCTTTGCACAGATTATAAAGAAACTACACTGACAATACTTGAGTTATCCCGTCAATAATAAACACGAAGTTGGCTACGCATTGTTGCAACACTAACTTTAAAATGGAAGGATTTATTTTCTTTAATTTAACATTTACTTAATAAGATATCATGTAAATCATAAGGTTTTAATATTTATATTAAAAATTAGGTAGTACATTTTTCCGTAAACACCTAATAAGTATTACATTTGTCAATGTTGAAGATGGTTCGTTGAAGTTCGTTGAAGTTTGTAGCTAATGTCACTAATAGTTTTAACCATGTTCGATATGAAGTTAAAAAAAACTAATAGTTATATTCATAACTTACAGAATGGGAATTACAGTTAAAATTATATCGATTTGGTTATAAATAAACTTATAACCCAGCCGATAAACATAACTAAAAAGTTACAGAATAGACCCCAAAGACCTTTAAAATGTAGAAAAAGAATAGATGTTGACATAGATAAATAAATAAATAAAATAAAATACTTTATTTTCATCCCAAGAAACATACAGTTTATAGAGGGACACCTCTAATCATACAATTACTTGTAAAATTAGTTTTGTATTTGTTACAATGTTATTTTTTTTATTAGTTAGTGTAAATAACTATTTTTAATTATAATAAAGATTTAGGCATACCATTTGTTTAAATTTATTATAATTTACTTTATAAAATTGTGACGGCACAAAATGGTTTGACAAGACAAAAAACTTAAATGTCAAAAACTGCTTGGTTTCTTTTCTCTGTTTAAAATTATATAAGCGTTACTATTCTTACGTATTCGTAGAGAAAATAATGTCTGAAACACGTTTGGAATAGCATATTCCACTCTCGTAAAACCGTCACACTCGCCTTCGGCTCGTGTGTCAAATTTTTCCTCGAGCGGAATATGCTGTATTCCAAACTTGTTACAGAATGTACTATTCTATAATATATGTATAAAATGGCGTTTATCAAACTTGATACATAATATACTATTATTTGGTTTTTTAACAAAATAAAATATATTGTTT